ATGTTTAGGGATAACTGGGATGACTAGGGGTGACTAGGGATGCCTAGGGATGCTTAGAGATGACTGGGAAGACTAGGGATCACTAAGAATGGCTAGGGATGACAAGGAATTACTAAGGATGACTAGGGATAAATAGGGATGACTGGGATGACTAAGGATGACTAGGGATGACTAGGGATGACTGAGATGACTTGGGATGACTCGGGATGACTATTAAAGACAAGGGATGACTAGAGATGACTGGGATGACTAGGGATGACTACTGATGACTAGGTATGACAAGGGATGACTAGGGATTACTAAGGATGACTCGCGATGGCTATGGGATCACTAGGATGACTAGGAATGACTAGGGATGACTGGGATGACAAGCAATGACCCAGGATGACTATGATTACTATGGATGACTGGGATGACAACGCATGAAAAGGGATGACTTAAGATGACTCGCGATGACTAAGGATGAGTATTAATGACTAGAGATGACTGGGATGCCTACGGATGACTAGGAATGACTAGGGATGACTAGGATGACTAGGGATGCCTTGGGATGACTTGGGATCACTGGGATGACTAGGGATGACTAGGGATGACTGGGATGACCAGGTATGAGTAGAGATGACTAGGGATGACTGGGATGACTAGGTATGAGTACGGATGACTAGGGATGACTGGGATAACTTGGGATGACTAGGGATGACTGGGATGACTCGGATGACTCGGGATGATTATGGATGACTCGGGATGACAAGGTATGACTATTGATGACTATAGAATATTGGGATGACTAGGGATGACTAGGGATGATTGGGATGACTAGGATGACTAAGGATGACTAGTCATGACTGGGATGACTAAGAACGACTAAGGACGACAAGGGATGACCAGGGATGACTGGGATGGCTAGGGATGACTAGGGATGATTAGGGATGGCTGGGATGACTAGGTATGACTACAGATTACTGGGATGACTAGGGATGACTAGGAATGACTAGGGATGACTGGCATGACTAGGGATGACTAAGCATGATTAGGGATGACTGGGATGACTAGGGATGAATAGGGTTCACTAGGGATGACTGGGATGACTAGGGATGACTAAGCATGGTTAGGGATGACTGGGATGACTAGGGATCACATAGGATGAAAAGGGAAGACTGGGATAACTAGGCATGACTAGGGATGACTATGGATGAGTGGGATGACTAGGGATGACTAGAGATGACTGGGTTGACTAAACATGACTAGGGATGACCTGGGATGACTAGGGATGACTGTGGATGACTAGAGATGACTAGGGATGACTAGGGATGACTGGGATGACTAGGGATGACTAGGGGTAAGTAGGTATCACTAGGTATGACTAAGGATCACTGGGATGACTAGGGATGACGAGGGATCACATGGGTTGGCTGCGATGACTAGGGATGACTAGGTATGACTGGGATGACTAGGGATGACTAGGGATGACTCGGGATGTCTAATAATGACTGGGATGACTAGGTTTGACTAGGGATTACCATGGATGTCTGGGATGACTAAGGACGACTAGGGATGACTAGGGATGACTGGGATGACTAGTTATGACTAGGGATGACTAGGGATGACTGGGATGACTAGTTATGACTAAGGATGACTAGGGATGACTGGGATGACTCGGGATGACTAGGGATGACTGGGATTACTACGGATGACTAGGGTTGACCGGGATGACTACTGCTGACTGGAGATGACAAGGGATGACTGGTATGACTAGAGACGACGAGATATGAATAGGGATGACTGGAATGACTAGGGATGACTAAGGATGACTAGGGATGTCTAGGCATGACTAGGGATGACTGGGATGACTAGGAATGACCAGCGATGAATGGGATGACTAGGGATGACTAATGATGACTTGGGATGACTGGGATGACTGTGGATGACTGGGATAACTAGGTATGAGTAGGGATGACTAGGGATGACTGGGATGACTAGGTATGAGTAGGGATGACTACCGATGACTGGGATGACTTGGGATGACTAGGGATGACTGGGATGACTCGGGATTATTATGGACGACTCGGGATGACAAGGTATGACTATTGATGACTAGGGAATATTGGGATGACTATGGATGACTAGGGATAAGTAGGGATGACTGGGATGACTGGTATGACTAAGGATGACTAGAGATGACTAAGGATGACTAGGGATGACTAGGGATGACTTGAATGACTAGGGACGACTAAGGACGACTAGAGATGACCAGGTATGACTGGGATGACTAGGGATGACTAGGGATGACTAAGGATCACTGGGATGACTAGGTATGACTAAGGATCACTGGGATGACTAGGGATGCCAAGGGATGACTAGGGATGACTAGGGATGAGTAAGGATGCTTGGGATGACTGGGGATGACTAAGCATGATTAGGGATGACTGGGATGCCTAGGGACCACATAGGACGAATAGGGATGACTGGGATGACTAGGAATGACTACGGATGACTATGGATGACTGGGATGACCAGGGATTACTAGGGATGACTATGGATGACTGGGATGACTAGGGATGACAAGGGATCACTGGAATGACTAGGTATGACTAAGGATCACTGGCATGACTAGGGATGACTAGGGATGACTAGGGATGACCAGGGATGACTAGGGATGACTGGGATGACTAGGGATGACTAAGCATGATTAGGGATGAATGGGATGGCTAGGGATCACATAGGATGAATAGGGATGACTAGGGATGACATGGGATGACTGCGATCACTAGGGATGACTAGCGATGACTAGGGATGACTAGGGATGACTGGGATGACTAGGGATGACTAGGAATGACTGGGGATGACTAGGGATGACTATTAATGACAAGGGATGACTAGGATGACTAGGGATGGCTAGGGGTGACTAGGGATGACTGGGATGACTAGGGATGACTAGGGATGATTAGGTATGACTAAGTATGACTAAGGATCACTGGGATGACTATTGATGACTAGGGATGACTAGGGATGACATGGGATGACTGCGATGACTAGGGATGACTAGGGATGAATAGGAACGACTGGGATGACTAGGAATGACTATTGATGACTTGGGATGACTAGGGATGACTAGGGATGACTGGGATGACAATGGATGATTAGTGATGACTAGGGATGACTGGGATGACAAGGGATGACTAGGGATTACTTGGGATAACTGGGATGACTAGGTATGACCGGGTTGGCTATGGATGACAAGGGATTAGTGGGATGACTAGGGATGTGTAGGGATGGCTAGGAATCACTGGGATGAATCAGAATGACTAGGGATGACTGGGATGACTCGGGATGGTTAGGGATGGCTGGGGATGACAAGGTATGACTATTGATGACTAGGGATAAGTGGGATGACTGAGATGACTAGGGATGACTGGGATGACTAGGATGACTAAGGATGACAAGGGATAACTGGGATGACTAAGGAGGACTTGGGATGACTAGGGATGACTCGGATGACTAGAGACGACTAAGGACGACTAGGGATAACCAGGGATGACTAAGATGACTAGCGATGACTAGGGATGACTAGGTATGTCTAAGGATCACTGGGATGAGAAGGGATGACTAGGGATGACTAGGGATGACTAGAGATGACTAGGGATGACTAGGGATGACTGGGATGACTAGGGATGACTAGGCATGATTAGGGATGGCTGGGATGACTAGGGATTACTTACGAAGAATAGGGATGACTGGGATGACTAGGCATGACTAGGGATGACTATGGATGACTGGGATGACTAGGGATGACTAAGGATGACTAGGGATGACTGGGATGACTAGGCATGACTGGGGATTACTACGGATGACTGGTATGACTAGCGATGACTAGGGATGACTTGGGATGACTAGGGATGACTAGTGATGACTAAGGATGAGTGGGATGACTATTGATGACTAGGGATAACTGGGATGACTAGCGATGAATAAGGATTAGTTTGGATGACTAGAGATCTCTAGCGATGACTAAGGTTAACTAAGAATGATTGGGATGACTAGGGATGCCTAAGGATGACTAGATGTTTTTTTGATGACTAGGATGACGTTGGATGACTAGGGATGACTAGGGATGACCGGGATGACTAGGGATGACTTGGCATGACTGGGATGACAAGGGATGACTAGAGATAACTGGGATGACTAATGATGACTAGGGATGACTAGGGATGACTAGGGATGACTGGAATGACTAGGGATGACTAGGGATGACTAAGATGACAAGGGCTGACTAGGTATGACTAGGGATGACAAGGGATGACTGGGGATGACTTGGGATAACTGGGATGACTAGGTATGACTGGGATGGGTAGGGATGACAAGGGATTAGTGGGATGACTAGGGATGACTAGGGATGACTGGGATGACTAGGGATGACTAGGGATGACTGGGATGACTAGGGATGAGTAGGAATCACTGGGATGAATCGGAATGACTAGGGATGACTGGGATGACTCGGGATGATTATGGATGGCTGGGGATGAGAAGGTATGACTATTGATAACTAGGGATAAGTGGGATGACTAGGGATGACTAGGGATGACTAGGGATGACTGGGATGACTGGGATGACTAAGGATGACTAGGGATGAGTGGGATGACTAAGGATAACCTACCGAAGACTAGGGATGACTGGGATGACTAGGGACAACTAAGGACGACTAGGGATGACCAGGGATGACTGGAATGACTAGGGATGACTAGGGATGGCTAGGGATTACTGGGATGACTAGGTATGACTAAGGATCACTGGGATGACTAGGGATGACTAGGGATGACTAGGATGACTAGGGATGACTTGGGATGACTTGGATGACTAGGGATGACTGGGATGACTATAGATGAGTAAGGATTACTAGGGATGACTGGGATGGCTAGGGATGGCTAGGAATCACTGGGATGACTTGGGATGACTATGGATGACTGGGATGACTCGGGATGACAAGGTATGACTATTGATGTCTAGGGATAAGTGGGATGACTGGGATGACTCAGATGACTAATGATGACTAGGGATGACTGGTATGACTAAGGATGACTAGGGATGACTAGGGATGACTGGGATGACTAGGGACGACTATGGACGACTAGGGATGACCAGGGATGACTAAGATGACTAGGGATGACTAGGGATGCCTGGGATGACTAGGTATGACAAAGGATCACTGGGATGAGTAGGGATGACTAGGGGTGACTAAGGATGACTAGGGATGACTGGGATGACTAGGGATGATTAGGGATGACTGGGATGACTAGGGATCACTTAGGATGAATAGGGATGACTGGGATGACTAGGCATGACTAGGGATAACTCGGGATGCTTAGGGATGACTATTGATGACTAGGGATGACTAGGGATGACTAGGGATGACTGGGACGACTAAGGATGACTAGGGGTGACTAAGGATGACTAGGGATGACTGGGATGACTAGGGATGACTGGGAATGATTAGGGATGACTGGGATGACTAGGGATCACTTAGGATGAATAGGGATGACTGGGATGACTAGGCATGACTAGGGATGACTATGGATGACTGGGATGACTAGGGATGACTTGGGATGACTGGGATGACTCGGGATGCTTAGGGATGACTATTGATTACAAGGGATGCCTAGGGGTGACTGGGACGACTAGGGATGACTAGGGATGACTAGGTATGACTAGGTATGACTAAGGATCACTGGGATGACTAGGGATGACTAGGGATGACTAGGGATGCGTGGGATGACTAGGGATGACTTGGGATGACTAGGGATGAGTGGGATGACTAGGCATGACTGGGGATGACTATGGATGACTGGGATGACTAGGGATGACTACTGATGACTTGGGATGACTGGGATGACTAGGGATGACTAGGGATGAATCGGGATGACTAGGGATGACTATTGATGACTAGGGATTACTAGGATGACTAGGGATGACTAGGGATGACTGGGATGACTAGGGATACCTAGGGATGACTAGGTATGACTAGGTATGACTAAGGATCACTGCAATGACTATTGATGACTAGGGATGACTGGGATGACTAGGGATGACTAGGGATGACTGGGATGACTTGGGATGACCGGGATGACTACTGCTGACTGGGGATGACTAGGGATGACTGGGATGACTAGGGACGATTAGGGATGACTAGCGATGACTGGGATGACTAGTAATGACTAGGGATGACTACTGATGACTGGGATGACTCGGGATGACTAGGGATGGCTAGGGATGTCTTGGATGACTAGGGATGACTAGGGATGACCGGGATGACTACTGCTGACTGGGGATGACTGGGATGACTAGTTATGACTAGGGATGACTAGGGATGACTGGGATGACTAGTTATGACTAGGGATGACTAGGGATGACTGGGATGACTCGGGATGACTAGGGTTGACTAGGGATGACTGTTTTGACTAGGGATGACGAGGGATGACCGGGATGACTACTGCTGACTGGGGATGGCTAGGGATGACTGGGATGACTAGAGACGACTAGGGATGACTAGGGATGACTGGGATGAGTAGTTATGACTAGGGATGACTGGGATGACTAGTTATGACTAGGGATGACTAGGGATGACTGGGATGACTCGGGATGACTAGGGATGACTGGTATAATTCGGGATGACTAGGGATGACTTGGGATGACTAGGGATGACTTGGGATGACTAGGGATGACTAGGGATGACTAGGTATGACTAGGTATGACTAAGGATCAGTGGAATGACTATTGATGACTAGGGATGACTGGGATGACTAGGGATGACTAGGGATGACTAGGGATGACTGGGATGACTTGGGATGACTGGGATGACTACTGCTGACTGGGGATGACTAGGGATGACTGGGATGACTAGGGACGATTAGGGATGACTAGCGATGACTGGGATGACTAGTTATGACTAGGGATGACTAGGGATGACCGGGATGACTAGTTATGACTAGGGATGACTACTGATGACTGGGATGACTCGGGATGACTAGGGATGAGTAGGGATGTCTTGGATGACTAGGGATGACTAGGGATGACCGGGATGACTACTGCTGACTGGGGATGACTGGGATGACTAGTTATGACTAGGGATGACTAGGGATGACTGGGATGACTAGTTATGACTAGGGATGACTACTGATGACTGGGATGACTAGTTATGACTAGGGATGACTAGGGATGACTGGGATGACTCGGGATGACTAGGGTTGACTAGGGATGACTGTTATGACTAGGGATGACCAGGGATGACCGGGATGACTACTGCTGACTGGGGATGGCTAGGGATGACTGGGATGACTAGAGACGACTAGGGATGACTAGGGATGACTGGGATGACTAGTTATGACTAGGGATGACTGGGATGACTAGTTATGACTAGGGATGACTAGGGATGAGTGGGATGACTCGGGATGACTAGGGATGACTGGGATGATTCGGGATGACTAGGGATGACTTGGGATGACTAGGGATGACTAGGGATGACTAGGGATGACTAGGGATGTCTGGGATGACTAGGGATGACTAGGGATGACTAGTGATGACTAGGGATGAGTGGGATGACTATTGATGACTAGGGATAACTGGGATGACTAGCGATGACTAAGGATTAGTAGGGATGACTAGAGATTTCTGGGGATGACTAGGGTTGACTAAGAATGACTGGGAGGACTAGGGATGCCTAGGGATTACTAGGTTTTTTTGTGATGACTATTGATGACTAGGGATGTCTGGGGTAACTAGGGATCACCGGGTTTGACTATCGATGACTGGGATGACCCTGGATGACTGGGATGACTAGGATGACTAGGATAACTAGGATGACTAGTGATGAATAAAGCTGACTAGAATGACTAGTATGACGGGGATGACTAGGGATGACTGCTTTGACTAGTGATGACCAGGATGACTAGGGTTGACTAGGGATGACTAGGATGACTGAAATGACTAGGCATGATTCGGGATGACTGGAATGACTAGGGATTACTAGAGATGACTGTTATCACTAGGGATCATTTGAATGTCTAGGATGACTAGGATGACTAGGATGACAAGGGTTGACTAGGGATAACTACCCTTGTCACCCAAGTCACCTATGTCACCCTAGTCACCCAAGTCATCCAAGATTTTTTTGTCACCTAAGTGATCTACGTCACGCTTCCCACCGAAGTTAGCCATTTCATCCTGTTCATCCAAGGCACCCTACTCATCCAAGTCATCCTAGTCACCCAACTGACCCTAGTCACCCAAGTCACCCCAGTCATCCTAGTCACCGTAGTCACCCAAGACAGCCAAATCAGCCTAGTCACCCTAGTCACCCAAGTCACCCTAGTCATCCTAGACACCCAAGTCATCCTAGTCACACTAGTCACCCAACTCACTCAAGTCACCCTAGTCACCCTAGACACCCTGGTCACCCTAGTCACCTAAGTCATTGTAGTCACTTAAGACACCCTTGTCACCCTAGTCACCCAAGTCACTCTAGGCGTCACCCAAGTCATCCTAGTCACCCTAGTCACCCAAGTCACCAAAGTCACCTTAGTCACCCTTGTCACCCTACATGTAAACCCAAGTCACATAGGTCATCCTAGTTACCTAAGTCACCCTAGTGACCCAAGTCACCCTTGTAACCATAGTCAACCAAATCGCCCAAGTCATTATAGTCACCCAAGTCACCCCAGTCACCAAAGTCACTTTAGTCACCCTTTCACCCTAGTCACACAAGTGACTCTATATAGCTAGTCACCCAAGTCACCCCAGATGTCACCCAAGTCACGTAAGTCATCCTAGTCACCCAAGTCACCCTAGTGACCTTAGGAACCCATGTCACTCTAGTCACCCAAGTCACCCTAGACGTCACCTAAGTCGACACCCAAGTCATCCTAGTGATTCAAGTCACCCAAGTCACCCAAGTCATCCTAGTCACCCAAGACACCCTAGTCACCCAAGTCACCCTAGTCGCCCTAGATGTCACCCAAGTCACCCAAGTCATTGTAGTAACCTAAGTCACCCTAGTCACCCAAGTCACCCTTGTCACCCAAGTCATCCTTGTCACCGAAGTCATCCTAGTCATTCAAGTCATCCAAGTCACTCAAGTCATCCTAGTCACCCAAGTCACCCTAGTAACCTAAGTCGCCGTAGTCACCCTAATCACCCTAGCAACTTAAGTCACCCTAGTCACCCTAGTCAACTAAGTCATCGTGGTCACCCAAGTCACGCTAGTCACCCAAGTCGCCCTAGTCACCTAAGTCATCCTAGTCACCCAAGTCACCCTAGACAACCAAGTCACCCTAGCCACCCTACGGGGTCAAGTCACCCTAGCCACCCTACAGGGTCAAGTCACCCTTGTAACCCAAGTCAGCCTAGTCACCCTAGATGTCACCCAAGGCATCCTAGTCACCAAGTCACCCTAGTTTTCACCCAAGTCACCCAAGTCATCCTAGTAACCCTAGTCACCGAAGTCACCCTAGTCAACCAAATCACCTAAGTCATCCTAGTCACCCGAGTCACCCAACTCACCCTAGTCACCTTAGTCAAATTATCTTTCAGCGGGTAGCTCCCTCCATAATAGTTTTCCGTGAATATGGAAGCGTAAGATTTAAAATTGAAAAGAATTTTTCTATTGGTTTTTAGATTTTATCTATGTCCTCGTCCTTGCCATCCGTTACAACGTACGGGGGGAAGCAGTTGGAAAGCCTAAATATGGTGTTAAAACTGGACTATTGTTTTTGTAATTTAATTATGTTAATTCGTGCGAAGAGACGCGTAAGCTTTGTTAAATGGCGTCAGCGGGGGCGTAGCGTGAGGTTTTGAAGGTGTCAACGCACGGGAAAGTTGGACCTCTGAAGGTACTGCAAACTAAGGGTTGTGGGGGCATGCTCCCCCAGACATTTTTTCAAATTTTGGGGCTTAGAAGTGCCATTAATTTCCTGCGTTTTCCGCGGGACATTTTTAGTATATATAAATGATGGAAAATGCGATAGTTGTTTAATTTAGATCACTTGCGTTATCAGCAGGGTCAGGATCCCATTGCATTGGCTTCTGGTAGGGTACAGTGTTTACGGACAAAAAAGGAAAACAGCAACAATAAAATGCGAAAGATTTATTAATCATCCCTATTTAATGATAAAAATGCTTTCGGTAAATGAAACATATTTTTCACGTTTTCCAGATTTCAGCTGTACGCACGAGCGTATGTGCGTAGATTGACGCTACTCCTGGCGACATAGCACCTTTAAAGTTACCCTTTTTTCCAAATGCCAGTAATGGAATAATTAGTCTTCCCAGCAGCCTAACTCGAACGCAGACAGAGTCTAATTTTCAAAGGGAAAATTGCGTATCAGACAAAAAGTAAACCTGGGGTCAATTTTTTAAAACTCACAAGTGCAATGTACAAGTGTAGCCATTGTTTTAAGTTGGAAAATACTTGTAAATAACACTTGTAAAAGTTTCATAAAATTGACCCCTGTTGATGTAGACTCCATCTCATAATAACAGTTCAAAGAAAAAAAGAAAGTTGCATTTATGTCAATAACGAGTTGTTCTAAATGCAACTTTCATTTTTTTTTTATTGGAGGTGGAAAAATACATAGTCACTTTTTGCGAAAAAGTTTTACATAGGACTTAATTCATAGATCTTTGAATTACGTGGGTTATCTAAAATGAAAAGAAAAAAACAAACAAAAACAGAACGGATTAAAATAAAAAAAAGGAAAAGCCTCATAATTTAACAAAAAAAAAACATGCCAGAGAGGGCAGAAAACACACAAAGTTTCAGTTCCTTTTAGAATTTGCAATAACCAGTTCATTCATTTAATTTAAAATCACAGAAAATATCCTTCCTGTCAATTCTGAGTACAGGGTAATAGGACAACAAATAAGGGGGGTTAGTAGCCTTCTAAAAAGATGTTGAAACAGCAGGGCTTGAAATAACTTTGCGGCTGGCACTGGTCATGTTGTCCGGTCAAACCTATTTTTGCTTGGACATAACACTTTTTCGGCCGGACAACTACAAATATTTATTAGGACATATCTCTATAATACTAAATTTTTGGTCCATTAGAAGTGTAAAAGACGTAGGACAGTTAGGACAGTGTTCACCAATTAGAACAAGCTTGATATGAAGAGTAGACTGTTCGCAGTCCTCTATTTTTCTGTAAGATGATGAGACTTGGCGCTTACTATTACAGGCGGTCATCTTAATGTACTGAGGGGATGGGTATCGGGGTTTATAGTGGTAGGGGCAGTGGGCTACCCCAAACTTTCCCCTGCCCCCTAAAACTCTTTACTCATCCCGACGCTGGGCTTGGTACATTTGAAACCAAGATGGCTGCCTGTAAGGGCAGGTGCTTGATTTCTACAATCTTACAAAAAAGTAGGGGAATGTGAAAAGTCTATTAGTATATCAAGAGCTACTTCTCCACTTAAAACGTTGAAAAATAACTAAACAGTATTAACACGAAGAATATTTTAGTGTACTTATCAACTTTGAAACGACATTTTCAAGCTACATGTTTGTGGTTGCTCATAGAACCAAATAGCCGGGTTAACAAAATCTATAGCTCCACTAAGAAGAAATTTCTAAAGCAACCATGCCTTCTCTAAGAAATGAATGTGTTTTTCCTTAAAAGTCACAAGATCTATGATTTCCACTCAATAGTGAAAAATTCTTTAAAAAGCAAACTGTGACATTCAAGTCTGCAGAACTGTTGTTGTAGTTAAATGAAAATTCTCCTCCTCTCCTTGGCAGTTAAGCCTAACCAGAAGTTCTGTTTTTGATTAATGTCATCACTTGTACTCCATTTCAACTGCCTTGATATCTACTTCATTTTTGACAATGACATATGTTGAGATGGAAGTAAGGCAGTTGTTCCTTTTAAGATGCATTAGCTCAAATGATGTTGCCTTCACACACTTGAAGGTAACAATTTCTCCTTGAATGGTTGTTAAGCCTGACGTAAAGTGTTCTAGTTTTGATCAATAACACCATTTATTTGTATTACATTTCAACAGTTAAGTTGTGAGATGCAAGTAAACCATTAGTTCCACATCAACTCCAGTGATCTTGTCTTCATGAACTTGAAGATAAAGATATATAGTTAATGAAAACACTGCCGACTGGTCTTTTTCATACAATCCTTCTGCTCCACTTCATCTTGTGATGCACACCTCCTTCCCCCTTGATACACGTAATCAGTGTCTGAAAATGTTATTTAGTTACTATCCATCATGAATAAATTTCCAAGGTTGATGTGATAGTGTGACGACACAGTGGACACGTTTTCCGTTGATATCTTTGCATCCTAAAAAGTTGAGTACAGCAACTTTTGCACATGCACATGTGACGGCAAGGCATGACAACAATGTTCTTCTCCTCTGTCTGGCAGACAACACACAAGTTCCTGTCTCTCTCTCTTTCTAACTGTTCCATTAAGTCTTGGTCCTTTTCATCTGCAGGCACATTGCAAGATCGTGTGCAATGTCTGGGCCTCTGCATAAAGCTAGGAGTCTGGAGAGTTGCAATGAAGGCTAGAACACTTTGTAAAGAAGACTCCAAAAATTCAAATGCAACATTGAACACATTTACTCTCAAAACAGTCCAAGAATACGCAATCAAAAATGCACTTGAAACAAAGCTTATAAGACTCCATTTGCCTCCTGGAAAGTAATGCACTCCAATAGCTAACAGACTTGGAAAACTTCTAACACCTTCCAGGAAACAAGAGATCACTTTGTTCAATGACATATACAGCATCCATCCCATGGCTTTCAATCCAACCCACAAGCCACGGAGCATGTTGCCGAAGATTAAATCAATGACCCCAGTGAGGGTATGAAACACTGTCAGAGTCAAGTCCCCTAATGTGTGTAGCATGGCTTGAAGATAGTGACACAGCCTGTTAAAGAACAAGACGAGATTATGCCAGGTAGAAAGTGCGCATGTCTGGACTGTTTTTCCCACAAATTCAATGCCAGTGAAGATTGAGGCGAAAACTGAATGGCAAATTTCCACGATCAGAACCCCTGTGTTCCATATTGACACTACAAGACACTCCATCACGGCTCTGATGCTAGTTACAATGGTCAATACTGCTGATGTGGGTGTATTGAAAACATATCTCCATCCCAGATAAGATTGATACAATAGCACGCCGGTGGCGTTCTTGGCCACAACGGCTCCATGAGAAGCGTGATATAATCCGCTAGGAATGGAAGATACAGCTCCGTGAAAGAGACTTAGAAGGCTCTGGAAAACTGATACAATCCCACTGGCGACTCCCTCAACAAACGAACATACAGAGTCTGCCGTAAATCGAGCAGACTTCGCAATGAAGTCAAAAATGGAGGACACAACATTATAGTTCAGTTGGAAGATTGTCTTAACTCCGCAACCGAGGTATTCGACAAACTTGATCGCGTATTTGAGACAGCTGAAGATACTGGAAATGGTTTCACAGGTAGTGATGACAACAGAATTAAGTATAAAATAGACAGCTCTGAAGAAATGTTCAAGAAACCACGCGATCCATCGAGCGAAGTCCAACAGAAATGGAACAGAGTCGAAACAGGCATAAGGAAAAGGTTTGCATTCGTGAAAAATGTACTTCTCCTCATCTGCAAAGCCCGTACTGCAAGTTAAAATGAAAAGGATTGATAAGAAGAAGAATTTTCCCATTGCCTTAGAGACTACTCCACAATTTTCATATTTCTTGTAAAAACCAGGCGGAAAAATCCAAAAGTTCAACGAAAACTTCAACGAAAAGTAAAAGCTTGTTATTCGATACCAGTCTATTCCCGGTGGCTCTATTCCCCCAGAGAAAAACAACTGCCTGAAGGGAGGGGAGGGGCAGGCAGGGCTCTTAAGTCGAAGGAGCCTAAAAAGAGGAAGAAATCTTTGATTTATTGTTTTTTGGACGTATTTTTTCTGACCGATTGAATTTTTTGCATTTTACACGTAAGATAGCCTAAAATAAATAAAAATGATCACTATCCCACTATTCCTGTCCCCTCACCCTTCCCCCAATGTATTATCCAAGCTTTTTTCGTTTCCAGGTTCTTTGGAAGAGCGATAGGCCTTGTCAAATTTTACACGGTGGCAGTGATATCGAAACTTCCTTTTTTCGGGAGTCTTTCTTCACATATTACTACCGAACGCAGCCCTGAAATGGCTGAACTAGCCTTAGTCCGAATATCTTTGAAACTAGTATGGGGATTAATCGCAAATAGAGCGATTGCACGCTTGGAAACAGGGAACCCAACGGACGAAAAGTTAAGGCAACTTCTGTTGTCAGAATTCCGAAAACTTCACGAGGAACTTGATGCCTTAAGACGCAAAGAATTGGTGGCCGCGACGGCTTTTATGGAGAATGCCTACGAAATTCTTAACGAAGATCCAGAGGAAGCAAAGAAAGAGTTCAACAAAGCAAGAGATGCGGCTCAGGTCGCTTTGGGTGTAGTGAAGGAGTTGCAAGATAAAGTTCTAGCCACCAAAATAATGATTGCATCGGCTATTCACGAATTTGTAGACAAGCCCGAAGTAGCTGCATCCTTGTGCATGAAGTACGTATCTAGACTCAATTCCCTTCCGTCTGTGGCAAATGCTTCGAGTATTCAAATCGGGCAAAAGATAGGTCCAAAATGGCGCTGGGGAAGCAACAATGTGACTAGGCAAGACCTGTTAGGGAAGGTCTCTGAAATTAATCGTTGTGTAAGGTACTTTGTCATAGACCAAACCAGCAGAAGTAAATATCTAGAAAGCAACTCCTCACACATTGCTGTGGATGGAAGGATGGTGGAGCCTCGGACAGAATTCATCCTTCTACGAAAATGTGTTGAGCTTGCAACACTACAAGAGGGGTCTGGTACCCCTATTGCCATGTTAGCAATGGAAAACAAGATCTTCTTAGCTCAGAGCCAGGTAGCATCACAACAAAGTGACCCCTTCCTTGGAAATGCTATCAAGTGCCTGGATCTTGAAGCCATGGAAGTTTCTGATCTTGTCGGTCACACAGGCACTGTCTTGTGCATGATTGGTGTTGGTAGCAATGTGGTTTCGGGTTCATTTGATAAGAAAGTCCTCATCTGGGACGCAAATTCTGAGAAGTGTGTACACATTCTGTCAGGACATGAAGGATCAGTCAGGTGCTTAGCAGATAACGATGCTCACATCTTCTCTGCCTCTACTGACAGCACTATCAAGGTGTGGGACAGGGTAACATTTGAGCTGCATCACACCCTGGATGGACACCAAGCGCCCATTTCTGCATTGGCTGTTTCCAACAGGCATCTATTTTCCTGTGAAATTAATGGACCAATCAAGTACTGGGATCTGAACAAATGGACTTGCTTGCATGATGTTAAATCCCCTGGGAATGTTGACAAAATGTACATCATCAACAGCTCTCTGCTCATTTCCTATGAACAGAAAATTTCTGTTGTCAGCTTGGGGAACCTTAAAGAAGTCACTGTTGTCAAAGAAGCTGCTGAAATGTCTCATGTGATTGGCAGAACCCTATGTACTGCATCAGATGGTACTTTACACTCCCTGGATGTATCAAATATGAAGTCTATTGCATCAAAGGTTTTAAAGGTTGATGACATTCCTCATTGTGTTAAGTGTTTGTATTATGAAGAGATGAGTGGCTATTTGTTTATCATTTGCCAGTGTTCTACACAAAATGGGGGAGAAAGAAGTGTTTTGTTTAGAATGTAGATTGTAGCCTGTTCAATATCACAGAGCCTGTTCAAGCAGAGCGACCTGTGATAAAATGTAATTAAATTTGTTTCCTGAGTACAGCTTGGCTCAATGCTTTTTGGCTTGTGCAAGAGGTCTTTTGAATAATAATTTTTATAGAGAAAACAAGAGCAACCTGAGGTAACTACAATGTAGATACCTGGTAACCATTTTTTCTTGAGTAGTCTATCCCTGTGCCTGAGGTCTGCAAATAATTTTATTTTGCACAAGTATGAGTAAAACTGGTGAAATGCAGTTCCATAACCATATTTGCCAGGTCGCAGTTCTGAGGCAGATTTCAAAATAGCTGTAATTCTGAGATTTTGGATGTTCACTGGGCTTACATGTAAAAGTTTGGGTGAAATGTGCAAATTCATGATGAGGCTGGTGGAGATAGGGTTAGACATTTTTGAAATGAATGAACATCATAATATCAACAACAATACTGAGCCACAGACATTCGAATTCAGAATGTTTAATGATTTCTTTAGAAGAGAGATAGCATCACTAGAACATTACTCTTAGTTTTACACAATACTTTCATCTTTAGACTACTCATAATGCAAAAATAAAACTTTATATTAGACTTTATTTCCAACAGTTGACCATCTGGCCCCGTGGATAGCGCTATCCACCAGATAAATCGCTATCCAGCGGATAAGTAGTAAGAAGCAATTGCATTATCCCCTTGATAGCTATTTATAGCGCTATCCACCTTTTGAACAACCGGGGCCTGAATAATAAATGTGACATGTAATGAATCAAGAAATTAAATTGGACTCAGTTCTTTCCATAACAATTTAGATAATACATTTGATACCGGTGCATATGTCCACACAGTTTTTATAAATTTGCTAAATAAGAGAAAATCTAGTTTTAAAGAAGACATGCAGTCAACAAAGTCTCCTTCACTGCTGTTTTAGTTTCGTCACGCAATGCACCTCCCCAGCAAGACCAAAATGGCTGCAAGGAAGACTAGCAGTCAACTCTGACTGAGCTGTTCCACCCTTGGGGTAAATTAAAGAGACAATCATATTTTTTGCTAACTTTTCATGCTGTGAACAATTCAGTTGAAATATCTTTCATGCATACTTTTCCACGGAACTATTAAATTTGTTTTTCAAATTTCTGAGTTCTCAGAACAGTAATTATTAAGCTGCATCTGCAAAGATCAAGCAATTCTACAAAGTAACGGTAGAAGAATTTATTGACTTTAAAATAAATGTACCCAACTTACTGTTGTTCTTTCTATGTACATCTTGTGGTTTAATTTTATCCTTGGTTTACATTTAAATTTTTAAATTATCATACATTACCATACCAAAAAACAAAGGAAAATAAAATTTAAACCAGAGACAAAATTAAACCACAACATATACATCAAGACAGTTGACTGCACAAACAGTCACAAATGAAAATGATTGCTATCACTAAAAAAACCCAAGGGAACTGTCTAAATATATAACGATTACAGGTATAAGATACGACTTTCAATAAACTGGGCATTATTCTAAAATGAAAATATGCTTATTGATAAAGATCTCACGGTCTTCCACCCTAACACCTTGTCTGCACTAAAAGCAAGATGTGTTAGCTTTTATGGTTAGTGTTAAGAAAACTTTCTTGCACACTGTAAAGCAGTCTCTTGAGGAAGAGTGTTTAGCAGGGCTGTTGCTAAGATTTCACGTTGCTGGATATGCAATAAGCAAGTGGGGAATTGAACAGCTAGGACTTTCTTTTGGTCTTATTTTCCTATTGTTTCCTATGAAAGTAGCCAGGGAACATGCTCATAAAAGACAAGGGAAACCCCCAGCCCAGCCCCCAACCCTTGATAGCAGCTCTGGTTCAGTGTTCATTGCTAGCACAAAATAAAAAGTCAGGTTGCAGGCACTACGAAGACTAACTATGATGATGATGATGACGATGATGATTGTGATGGTGACAATAAGAAAGACTGGCATTGTCATCGACACACAATAAATTGGCACATAAAACTATTTATTTACTACATGTTTCATTTACTCCAATGGCATTCATAATAAGACTCAATCAATCGACACAGTGCCAACCATCTGTAAGAAAAATGATTTTTCAAGGCTGTTGTCACAAACAAAAATAATACACCCAGTAACATACCTTAAGGAACCCAACAGGGAAAAAGTTTTCACATAGGATGTGAAATGTTAGGCGGCTATGTTATGGAAAAAAACCACAACAACCTGAGAAACACCTTTGAATACCAAGAAAACACGTCATGTCACAAATTCTGAGACTGGGCTGTTATATTTTAATTTTAAACTGCATGTACTTTCTCCAACACTCAAAGATAAAAAACAACAACAACAACAAGGCCATTTCCATTTTAGGCAGTAGAAAGTTGGTGACAAAGCCGTGTCTTTTTTCAACATTCCAGTAGCTCCACAACTGAGTGGTTTTGAAAGTAAAGACAAAGTTCTTTCAACCTGCCAGTAGTTGATAATGCAATTTTACTTATGAAAGGGCTTTCAAAAGCTTTCATTCCGAACTCTTGGCATGAATTTGCCACAATCATTTTCCAATCTCCCACTGATGCAGCACCAGATGAAGGCTGCAGCTAAGATAAATAACGTAGGGAACCTAATGCTCTGAACCTGTGAAATCCTGGGTGCCCAGTACACAATAATTATTATGATCTTTATGGAAAAAACCTAAGATTTCCTCGTTGCCCAAGAGCAAAACAGAGGCACAAGAAGCCACCCAAGTACTGCTATAGCATAGCACTACAGATTGTTTTGAAACTGACTGTTTAATTCATACGTTTTCACGACAGTTCCAAAGAGCTTCATGTACTTACATTATTGTTAGTATGACATGTTAGAAAACAAAAAAAAAAACAAACAAACAAACAAAAAAACAACTGTAATAATTATTCATAGACACTACACTTTGAGACGAACGACTTTGCAGTACTAGTTCTTTACCAGTTCTATAATCCCTTCACTGTAGTTTCAATAATGGTCAAAATGCTCAAGGCCCACCAGAAACAAAAATTTCTAACAAGCCAGTTATAAATACTGTAAGAACATGGAAGCTATATGCTCAGTTCAAGAGTTTTTTAGCTAAAAAGTCCATCTCTCAGATCTTCAAGTACAACCAAACTTTCCCCCTTTTTAATCCAGGCAGCTTAAAGCCTACAGCATGTAGACTTTACTTTCATTATTACGCAATTAACAGACTAGGTGGTACCCTGATAAATTAATCACAAAATTATTGCAACACAACTTAAGAGAAAACATACAATGATTAGTAAGAAAAAATTATATCTTGCTAAGCTTGGGAATAAGTTGAGTAATTTTGCCACAACATGTCCACATGTCCACATTGATATTTCCTTTTATTACCATTTCTTCTTGTAGTCATCAACACTAACTCCACCAGGGCCAAGGGCAACAACCAGCAACAAACCACCAATCACAGATGTTGTCTGAAAGAAGTCATACTTGAGGAAATCTCTTAATGGTGATTGTGAATGGTACATCCACCATGGATTGATAAAGATGTTAATGATGGTGAGCAACAGAACAAGCACCAATGAAGCAAGCTTCGTTTTGTACCCCACAGCAACTAGGACCATCAAAATTGTACCTGCTACATCTTGAAGAATGTAGACAAAAGAAAGCCTAAACTTGATAAGGGTTGCAAACATAAATCCCAAGAGGACTCGGCCAGTCAGCTGAAGGTACGTCTTAGGGGTGTTGCCTCCCATGGTTGGGACTCCTGCGAATAAGCTTTTCTGTTCAGAACGCGATTCAGCTAGTAGAAGTAACAAGCCACCAGCGAGAGCAAGATTCCTACAAACAGAATGTTACCCAAGGTATCTTTCAGTCAATTTTAAAATAATTTACTGTTTTAAAACTTCCCATGCACTACCATTTTGAATTGTCATCGGATAATTCATTTCGATTGTATGGTTCCAAAATATTGAAAATAATTATCGTGGCAACCACCACATTATGGGGGGGGGCGGGGGGGGGAACGACTGTACCTTGGAAATGAATTTCTCACAGTACTAGTTGTATTAGCCTGCGAAAACATCAGTTTCTCCTCGCTCTTCGTCGCTGAGAACGTTTCGCGCGGAGGAACGTCTGCGACTCAGTGACAGAAATTCCATACTGATGACCCAAATCAATGTTTACATAATAAATACGGTAGTCATGGGGTTCCAAATATAAATTTGTCTAATTTTGCATGTCTTCTGGTCGATTTTGGTAAAGTGTTATGTTGCTCTGCCCACGAGCTCCAGCAAAGCTCAAATGCTTCTTCTAGAGAAGACTATATTGCACAAATATTGACTGTTTTGTTAGAGATTCTTCGTGCTTACATTTGACCTTTTGGCCTTTTGTCTTTTGTCTGTCATTTGTAAACAATAGCTAAAACAATGTAACTGCTCTGTCGACCAATCAGCACTTCTGACCGGATTCTGGACAGATTTTACGTCATCAGTATGGAATTTCTGTCGCTGAGTCGCAGATGTTCCTCCGCGCGAAACGTCCTCAGCGGCGAAGAGCGAGGAGAAACGGATGTTTTCGCAGGCTATGGTATGGTATGTTTCTAAAGGTAACCTGTGGCTTTATCATGTTTCTAAAGGTAATGCAGTATACTAGTATTATAGTTGCCCCACCACAAAGCCATACCATATTTGGCTTGTTACTGAAATGTCCTCAAGGTAAAATGATAAGCCTTACCCTAACCCAGGGAGAGTAAGAATTGGGAGAGGCAGGGGGGAGGTATTATTGCAAGAAGAGATTAACCCTTTAAGCCCCAATATCCACTTACAAATTCTCCAGACTGATCTCCATACATTTCCTTAAAGAATATGTTGAGAGAATTTGTTTGCTGATCAAAGCTTTTCCCGTCAGATGATCATTTCTTTTTTTAATTCTCACAAAATTTTCTCTAGATTATGTATGGATATTGTTAGGAGAAAACTGACTTTGACTTAAGAGGAATTGCACTTGGTTGATGACTTAAACTCTGAAAAATAATATCAAGATATTGCTCTTACAAAGTTATTTCTCCCAATTTTTACAACCAAAATAAATGCTGTGTGTAATTTACAAACTGCGCACAGGTGTGCGAGACATGTCAGACCCATGTCACCCAGCTAGCTCAGGGTAATACAGAAAACAAACATGATGGTTTAACAGATGAAGAACACGTATTTATCAGATCCCATCATCAGTAAGTCCTACATTTTGTGCTCATATTTCTTTACACTGAACTTGTATTTAACAAATAACTCTATCAAGCAGACATAAGCGTACACAGTATCTGCTTATCCAAAATTAATATTCTTGACATGCCTGTGGATTAGGGATACCAAGGTACACATATAACTGTCTGCTAATTACTACTCATAATTAGCTATGTTGATTATAAAAGTATACAAATAATTTACCTGAGCAAGAACTTAAAATCCCATAGGATACTGTATGCCAATGTCTGCAAAACAAAAGAAAAAAATTACTGACAAAATTGAAAGGCCACTAAAATCAGTTTTATGCGTTTCTAATTTCATATGTTAGCTTAAGTTAAATCTGAATTATTCATTAAAAATTAAATGAATGGATCTTAAGTGGAGCGCCAAGTAAAACTGATTCATCATAAGCTTTCATAATATTAAAACCTGTGTACTTGCAGTTAAGAAAAAATTATTATAAAACAAAAGGGATATTTGGAACAAGTAAAAAATATAATAGCAAAAAGTTATTTGTAGCCTTGGTATGGGCGATATGACTGAATACAGAGAAAGAAAAAAAAAACAGAACAAAACAAAAGGTTAGGTTAACAGTAAATCGAAAGTTTAAACTCACTTGAACTACAATTACAGAAGACAAAATTCCCACAGCAATTTCAACTTTTTGCCGCGATAATACCATAACACAACCACCAAGCTGAGCGACTAAATTGAACAGCACAAAAATGGTGCCGATCACATAGCCACAGTGCCACGTTTGGTCCATGTAATCGCGCTGCTCATCCCACTGGAACCACATTCGAAAGCCGTCCTCGAAGAACGTGGAGATGAGACAGAACCTCGCCAGATGAGGCAACACGTGTTTGCCATTACGAAGGATTTGATCCGCGATATCTTCCGCCCTGCTTAAATATTCACTGTAAGCGGACGATCCCTCTTGCGAAGACGACTTTCCCATCGTTATTTGGGGAGCATAAAAGAGAAGAGAAATGGCGCTCACGATGAACGCGCAAAAGGGACTGAAGACTAGACCATAATACGCCACGGTAGAATGCCACGTACACTTTGTATGTGACGTCACAGACTGCGAAGCTGGCTTCCGGTAGGTTAGAATCGCAGGTGTTAGTGAACTGTTTTGAATTTAAAAGCCAGTGAATAAAACAGTTTTTGTAAAATTACTGTTGAAGCGCAAAAGGTAACTCTTCTTGAGGTAAATGCGCGCTGCTAGTGAGTTAAGCATATTCTGCAATCGGACAAACAAACAAACAACTGCACTGTGTTAAAGTCGGAGGAGATTTCTCGTGTTCATTCCCAAATGTCCAATGTTTACCCGATACCTTTATCAAATTAAATAAAAATACAGTACGGTTCAGTAGCGGTCCCTAGAAAGTGAGGTTGGTAATTAAATGCTTTATGGTAATCAGTTTTATTCAATGAAACAAAACGAAGTATGGACGCTCGAAACCGTCAATTTTCGGCGCTATATCAATGGCAGAGGCTTTCTCGCCTTTGATGAAATATAAAAATAAAAAAAATAAAAATTCAGCAGTAATTAGAGCAAACTAAAATCGTATCGTTTCGGAATCAACCAGTTTGAACCGGCCATGTAACAATGGCTTCCTGAATCATTAAATTTAGATACAAAATATTCAAACAAAAAGAAATATATCCAGCGGGATTTTTGACAACGATGCAACTGGGACCGGAACAAGGCCAGCCTGCGTAGAATGGCGCTTTTGTCGACCTCGCCCACCTTGGTTTGTTTGCGCGCCCGACGAAAACCGCTATGCTACGCAGGTTAGAATAAGGCATAAACTTGGCTTCTTTTGGGATCCAATTAGCATTACAGGGGACAAAATTTTTTTACGTCGAAAATTTGATTTGGTTTTTTGTTTGTTGAAAGGTGATTATTTTCAATAAACTGTATAACAGATAATAAATGAAATAACGATTTAGAGGTTGCACTTCCACCTCGGTGGGGGAGGGGGGAACTCCGCATATGGAAGGGGTGGAGATACTCGTCGTCTCGCTTAGGGGTGTAAATTTCGGATTTTGGTCTCACTTAGGGTGTTCTGGGCAAAACGCTATCATATTTAGCCGTGAAGGTCTCGTTTAGGGTTGCACGCGAAAAATATAAAAATATATATTTGATATGTATATTTTTAATGCGTTTTATTTACTCCATTCATTTAATCCAAGATTTTTCATTTGTGTGTGTTTTAACATGGTCTCTTTTAGGGGGCAAAAAAAGCTTGGGCCATGCCCAGATCGGTCTCCTTTAGGGCTTTAATTCAAAATTTCCGACGAGCAACCCCACCCCTTTCATATACGGAGTCCCCCCCCCGGGACTTCCACTAGGTGGTATATTAGTTTTTGAGGAAACGGGGAAAACCGGAGTACACGGAGAAAAACCTCTCAGAGCAAAATATGGCGTTAACGCCAGGACCGGGTTGTTCGAAGCTGGGTTAAAGTAATCCAGGTTTAGTGCGAAATTTGAATTCGAATATCAGAGCTTAAAAAGCAAGTTCAGTTTAATCTCTTTGCCTAAAATTTGGTGATAGGTTACTCTAAAAGGAATAGAAAACATTTTCCGAGAGAGTACTTTTGGTAAAAAGAAAAAGAAACCCGGGTTAAAATTTAACTGCGGGTTAGCGCTAATAGGGGTTCGAACAACTGGACCCTGGAAGGGTCATATTGGTGGCAGCCGAGTGTTCTCCCCACTTCACCATCCTTGCTCCCCTTTCATTCCTCATTTGAGGCAATTTTGGTTAAACTGGATGTGAAAGTGTGAAGGCACAGCTAGAGGTTTTTCTCGCATGCGGCGGGAATTTTCGGTGTTGGCTGAAGGCCGACACATCTTCGGTCGAAGCCACGAACGGCGAAGCCGCGAGAAAAAACGCTTTTGTCTTCAAGAAAAAAACTCTTCTGTTTTCAACCCGCTTTTCGCGCGGTTCACTATAAAGACTTGACAGAAACCGGAAACTGCGCTAGAGAAGTCTCTGCCACCCAGGGTAATGTGAAGAAATGTGAAGACGGCTTAGAAATGAAAAACCATGCAAAGCTAGTATTTCTTAAAATTTACTTAGTAAAACTACACTGTACATGATAAATGTTGTGGGCTTTCTTCGGATCCACCACTGAAATCATATCTTGAATCATATCACGCCTGAAAAAGGAAGGGGAAAAAGCTACAAGTCACAAAGCGTACAACCTGGTACCCAGCTCTCTTTTCAAACATCAGGACAGGGTCGAGTAAAACTGAGAACTAGTTGTTTCCTTTATGGTAACCATTAGCAACCTAGGAAATCTGCAGCAGAAAAACATGGCGGACGTCTGTTTGGATTCTGACTTGACCTAATCGTGTGTGTTTTGCACTTTTTTATAGTATGGAACGTCCAACGAAGAAATCAACCTAAATTAACAAGACTTAACCCTGGAAATGCAAACATGAGCGTCTCCACAGTTGTAAAACCAAGCGAATCACCTCATATTTCCCCAGGAGAAACCTCCCGCGCTTCTCGTGGTAAAAACAAACTTGTTAAAACACCAAGTTCGCCCTGCGTTTTACCAATACTCGAGGGAGGAAAATCACAAAGTGACGAATTGAAACATGAAATTATGGTTTCTGGTGGACAAAGTGACATTTTAGATCGCGATAAAACGTTCTTAACCGGGATGAATGACTTTATTCCGGATGACATTTTGAACAGTTTGACCCAGCAGCCGATCCCGCCTTCGCGCGAACAGCTAGGACCACCAACAAAACACAAGAGGCTTAAACCTCTCGAGGTAGGGGGTTATAGTTATGAAGTCAGAGTAATGGATCAATAATTCTTTATTTTTTCAGCCATAGACTTTTAAAAGCGGCTGGGAAATATACATGTTCATGTGGTAATATGTACATTTAAGTTTCCAAGTTAGGAAGTGTCTACACACCCGACAGCCGGGAATGTTTTCAAAAAGCTAGACGCCTGGCGCAGTCAGAAATTTTGAACAATTTCCTGGAATAGGTCGTTTAATTCCTTTAAGAACACAAGATATTTGTTTAGGAATCTCAAGCAATTGTAAATATTGCCTTGACTTAAAAGCATTGGCGACTGTCAAGCTTGGGCATAGAGTGAAATCTCAGTGTTTTCGACACTTAGAAAATATTCAAGTTCTGACACACTGAGTCAACTCCTGATGAACATCCACAGGATTTATCGACGAAACCTCACCATAGTATTTAGTGTTTGTTCAGAAATGCCAAGCGATTCTAAATAAGGGTTTCATATTGCACACTATTTAAGTTAATTACTTCATGTACATCTTCATACGTATGCAACCTAAATGTTCAATCATTCTTGATATTAGGCTGATTTAGCAACAGAACGGGAACGTCAGTTGACGACGGGAAAGTGCGTGGAAAGGAATTAACGCTACTTCCGGTGCTCAATTTGTTTCTCTGCCATTGGTCAAGCCAGTGGCAATGATTTGCGCATGCCATCATCAACTGACGTTCCCGTTCTGTTGCTAAATCAGCCTATTGTATTAAAATGGATCGGTTTGCAATCTTTTTTTCCATATGAGGTCGCATTGATCTTGCTGCAAAAAAGATATCATCTCACATTATTTTCATAATACGTGCATGGACTTACTAGCTTGGCTTCTCTTTAAAAACTGGAAGATGATTGTGATTGAAATTCTCTCATGGCAGGGTCAATCTGATTGTGTGATCTGGGGTGCGACTGTTGTCAATTAGAATTCCTGGAAATTTCAAATCCAATTTGCAGAACTGCAAATACCAGTTGGTCACCATACACCATGACCTGCATTCAGGCATGATTACTGGCTTAGTTCAAACACTAAAGACTACCTTAACCCATTCGCTCCTGGAGATTTTGCCGAAAAATGCGTTTTGAAGCTAGTCGAGTGGTTTTCTGGTCACTGTCGTTCTATAAAGAGCTAAAACTTAGCACAAACTGGTTGACAGGTCGAACACTTCGCGGCCTTCTGATCCAGATGCAAAATATCAGCTCGCAAAGTTCGGGCATGCGCAGAAAGTTTTTGGGTTTAAAAGTGACACAGCAGTCTTGACTTTTACTTTTTGCTTTCTCTCTGTAATAATAATACTGATTGATGCTACAGTTGACTGACATGTAATCCTACCCCCTGGAATGTGCTATATATATCAACCACATTCCGTACCAAACAGAGAGATCAATAAACCTTCGAGCCAGTCAACCCTTGTTATGTTTCTTAGTTAAAACCCTGAACCCGTTCATCTAAGCAAAACTTATTACATGGTGTCAGAAGTGGCCAATCATGGAACACATGAAGCCCATCGGACCTCTACGAATGGACGGCAACGTCGCAGAAAACTGGCGAAAATGGAAACAGAGGTGGGTCCTCTACGCGAAAGCGAGTGGAGTAGACTCAAAAGACGAAGAAACACAGTGTGCAGTCTTCCTACACACCATAGGAGAAGAGGCACTCGAAGTATACGACACTTTTACATTTACAGAAGCCGAGGAGAATAAGATAGAACCTCTCGTGGCAAAGCTAGAGGCGTACTGTGCCCCAAAGAAGAACGTCACGCATTTAACGCTATCTTTTCTTCTGGGCACGCAAAACGGACGGCCTATCGACGCCTTCCGTTACCGATCTCCGCACAAAAGCCAAAACCTGCGTAGTTTGGAACACTCAACGATAGTCTAATAAAGGACAGAATCGTGTGTGGAATCGACAGCCAGAGTGTAAGGGAGCGACTCTTACGCAACAACGAGCTCACTCTAGAAGTAGCCATAAATACCGTGACGAGCCGCAGAGACGAGTAAAACTGAAATGGAGTCCCTTAACAGCTTGGAAGCAGCAGCCGAAACTTCGGTCACAAAGAACCAAAAACAGCCACCAAGATATCAGCCTATGAAGAAAAGGCAGCAGAAACAACAGCACCAGCAAATAAAACCGCGGTGGTCGTTGTGGTTACATCCACAAGCCAAAACAATGCAGGGCGTTTGGACAAACATGTCACAAATGTCAAGGGAGAGATCACTTCGCCCATATGTGCCGCACAAAAAGGCGCAAATACTGGCCACAAAACACTCAATGAAGTCGACCAGCAGTCAGACACTGACTCAGATGAGGATCTATTCCTTGAGAATTAGATTCGTCACAAAATGACAAAACGAACTGTTCACTTAAATTAACCGTGAATGAGGAAGAGATCAGCTTCAAAATTGATACAGGCGCACAGTGCAATGTCATTCCCGAACACGCCTATGAAAAACTGCGCAAGAAGCCAAGCCTACAGCCTACTAAAGTTAAGATAACTGCATATGGTGGGGTACGTGTGCCGATCAAAGGAACATGCACAATGACAATCAAGAAAAACAGCAAAAACCTTGATGCCAAATTCTTTATTGTCGCCGTTGAAAAGGCTCAACCCTTAATTGGCCTTCAAACTTGCCGAGATCTGAACTGATAAACATTAACAACGATGTTAATGAAGTCAAAGCAAGTGGAACAGAAATTCTCGATTTAATTTAAAGATGTCTTCACCGGACTTGGTTTAGTCAACGGAGAATTTCACATCGAGCTTCGAGAAGACGCAAGGCCTACAATACAACCGCCACGGAAAATTCCTCTGAGCCTGATGCCGAAACTACAGAAAACACTAGAGAAGCTGACAGAAATGGAAGTAATCAGCAAAGTTGAAAAAGCAACTGACTGGGTCAACAGCCTAGTCAAAAAAAAAAAAAAAAGACGGCTCATTGAGACTTTGTTTAGATCGAAAAGATTTGAACAGAGCAATCAAGCGTGAACATTATAAGCCGCCCGACAGCCGAAACCATTTCTAGTAAGCTCAATGGGAAGCGTGTTTTTACGGTAATTGACATGAGTAACTGCTACTGGCACAAAAAGTTGGATGAAGAATCATCCTATTTGTGCACATTCAACACGCCTTTTCGGCAGATACAAGTTTAACAGAATGCCGTTTGGTATCTGTGTAGCAGTGACGTCGCTCAGAGAATGGTGGATGAAAACTTCAGCGACATTCCAGGAGTTCTCGCAGTGCACGATGACATTATCATCGCCGGAAAGGACACTGCGGAACACGACCTAGCTCTCAAACAAGCGCTGGAACGCGCAAGATCACGCAACATAAAGTTTAACCGCAGCAAAGTACAGCTACTGGCACAACCAAGTGAAGTATCTTGGTGATATCGTGACCGCCGATGGATTCAAGCCAGATCCCGAGAAGATAAAAGCAATTGTGGAAATGCCAGAACCACAATGTAAGCAAGATTTGCAACGCCTACTTGGCATGGTCAACTATCTGTCGCAGTACATACCAAACATGTCAGAAATCACAGCCCCCCACGCAACTTGTTGAAAAAGAACATGCAATGGGTGTGGTATGACTAACATCGATCCGCGATAGATAAGCTAAAACATGCACTCACGAACACTCCCGTTCTGCAGTATTTCAACCAAGACAAGCCAACTACAATCCAAACCGACGCCGCAAAGTGGAATCGAAGTTGCCTCCTGCAAGAAGGACACCCCGTGATTTACGCGTCAAGATCGCTGACGAATGCCGAACAGAACTATGCTCAAATCGAGAAAGAACTATTGGCTATTGTATTTTGCGCATGAGCGATTTCACCAATTTGTCTCACGGCAATGACATAATTGTGCAAAGTGACCACAAACCACTTGAGGCGATAATGAGAAAGCCATTATCTCAGACACCCCGAGAATTCAACGATTGCTAATCAGGCTTCAAAAGTACAATTTGACAGTTCATTTTGTACCCGGAAAACTGATGTTCATTGCAGACACTCTATCAAGAGCGTACCTAAATGAGACTGTTGAGGGTCCCCAAGACCTCAATGATGACATCGAAGTGATGATCCACAGTTTCATCACCGAAATCCCAGCGAGTCCAGAAAAGTTGACACAGCTGAAAAATGAAACCGCCAAAGATGCAACACTTCAGGCGCTGAAAGCTCAAATACAAAAAGGTTTCCCACCCCATAGAAAAGCCTTGAGACCAATTCTCTCGCCATACTGGATTGTCAGAGATGAGCTAAGTGAAGCCGACGGTCTTCTATTCAAAGGAAGACAGCTTCTCATTCCAAAAGCCATGCAGAACAGCGTCCTGGAAATGATACATGAAAGCCATCTTGGAATTGAAAAGTGTAAAGCACGAGCAAGAGCCATTGTTTATTGGCCTGGAATGTCACGCGACATCCATGATACTGTTGTCAAGTGCCCGACATGCTTGACACACAGACACAAGAACCAGAAGGAACCGATGATTCCCCATGCCATACCAGATCGTCCATGGCAAAAGCTCGGATCCGATGTGTTTGAACACAAAGGAAAACCGTACCTAGTAGTGGTGGACTACTACTCCAAGTACATCGAAACTAGCCTAATGCGTGACAAAACCGCGGGAACCATTGTCACGCACATAAAGTCAATCTTCGCTAGACACGGCATCCCCAAGAGCTCAGATCAGACAACATGCCTTACAACAGTAAAGAGTTCAAACGATTCAAGAGACGACTGGGGATTTGAACTGATCACCTCAAGCCCCACATATCCGCAGTCTAATGGCCTCAGTGAGAAAGCAGTACAAACCGTTAGTTTAATACTAAAGAAAGCAAGCGACCCATACATCGGCCTGATGGAGTACAGAAATACTCCAGTGACAGGAATGACATATTCGCCATCCCAGCTTCTCATGAGTCGCACCACCAGAACCAAGATCCCCGTAACACAAGAACTCCTGAAACCAAAGATTGCTACTGAGGTCAAACAACAACTGTTAGCCTGTCAACATCAGCAAGTGCACTATTACAATCAAGGAGCAAAGCCCTTGACAGATCTCAAACCACAGGAAGCTGTCCGTCTACGCCAAGGAAAGACCTGGGTACCCGCCGCAGTAAACGAGAAAGCAGAAACCCCGAGATCCTATTTAGTCACAACTACGACCGGACAACAATATCGCCGGAATCGCAAGGATCTGCTACAAACTGGAGAAAACCCTCCTGTAATATCAGTCCCGCAAGACAACGACTTTAATTACACTACAGAAACTCAGAAAACCTCAGCAACCCCTAACAAAGAACAAGACCCTGTACAACCTCCTGAACAACAGCAACCCAACAACCCAGAATCGACGACACCACCTAGACGCTCCTCGCGAATCACTACTCTTCCCTTTAAATTCAAGGACTATGTCATGAATTTCTAAGAACTGAACACTGAAAATTAGAACATTGAACTTTTGTCATACCGGAAGTGTCATTGCTATTATTCGATTATTTTTTTTTAATGATAGTGTTTGATTTCATTCTCAAAAAGGGAGATGTAATAATAATACTGATTGATGCTACAGTTGACTGACATGTAATCCTACCCCCTGGAATGTGCTATATATATCAACCACATTCCGTACCAAAAAGAGAGATCAATAAACCTTCGAGCCAGTCAACCCTTGTTATGTTTCTTAGTTAAAACCCTGAACCCGTTCATCTAAGCAAAGCTTATTACACTCTCCTCCCTTCTTTTTTCGCTTTTCTTGCCTCATTTTTTTTTCTCTTGCTGGGCATTTAGAAGGCTTGATTTTGGTGGGAAGAGTTTTTAGGAAAGCTTTTAGGATCTTAGGATTAGGTGAAAGGAAAGGTAGGTGGGTAATGGAACAAGATTTTCATGGAGATTTTCAGGTCAATGTCACGTGGTTTTTTGCTTGTTTCTCCGGTGTCCTTGACTGAATTGTGCTCATTCTGGTATGGTTTGAAAGATCTCTTCATTCTGCACAAGTTAGTGAAGAAAGTTGTCCTTGATCGTTAAAACTGATGACGTCACAATGGGTAGAAAGGACCTGGATCCGCACAGGCGGTTACGGGCGGTTCAGGGGCGAATGGGTTAATTTCTGCAGCAGTTGATTTGCATATGTGACAACTTTCCTGGTTTTCCCAAGTAAAAGTGTGACTCGTTCAAACCTGATGAGAATGAAAAGAACTATTTTGATGGTGTATTTCATTTTCCCTCCAAAGAATTTTGGAAATTCTCTCCAGGGGAGTAACCCCTAACAAAATTAATGCACTTGTAGATGCATATGGTTTACAAATTTCATTGAATATCTAATACTTCAACAATAATTTACGATATTTGTTTGCTTTAAATTCAATTTGTAGATAACTCCACCAGCTCGGAGAAGGCCAGCCAATGTGTGGAATTTCCCTAGAGGGAGAGAAAAGTTGAAACATCTCGCGGAACAGCCCCCTTGTATGTGTGGAGCAGGAAGGTAAAGGTTTCCTCTTTTCCTTTCCTAACCTGAACTTGGAAGTATTCTTGTGGCAACACTGTAATTTGCTGAAGACACAAGTGTCTCCTAGTTAGGTCACTAAGAAATGAAATTATACTGAGAAAATTTGGTCTAATCAAGTCAGAAACATACACTGTATTTGCATCCTGACACAATTTTTGCTTCAGTGAAAATAGAAGAGATAGGGAAAAAAAAATTCACAATCATGTAATGAGTAGCAATTTTTTACTCCTGAAAATATCCTTCTCTCCAGAGGGTTCACAGAGGGTCTTTTTTTGTTTGTATGACCCCCTTCTCCCTGTCCTCCTAGAATGTGTAGTTCCAGAAAATATCCAGACTCCCTCCACAGAAGGGATTGGAAATTCCTGGGGGGTGGGGTGTTCTCAGAGTCCCAAGAATTTAAGTAAATGTATGAAGCTTGACTGGAATTTACAGAGAGGTGGGAGGGGGGGCTGTCCTAAGAAAAAATCTCTTCCATAGGGGAGGTATGGATAATTTTTGGAACTTGCACCTAATATCAATTAAAGCTGCAGAATTTCTTAAAACATAGAAAAAATAACCTGTAAGACCACACACTCAATGATCGTTTAGGGGGTGGGCATGAATAATTTCTGTAACTGCACAACTGCCCAGTGTTTCGAATCTACAACTGATGCATCTAAGATTACAGAGAAGTCAAGGCCTTGAATTAGGAGATCAGTTCTAAGAAAACGACAAAGCTGATAATGTATTTGTGTTTCTTGTTTTGTCATTTTTTCTCAGAGATATATCTTTTCTATATGATGCCACTGGGCCAGACAAGACAAGCCTGGACTCAGCTGGAAAATCTCTGGTTACACCTGCCTCTGATAAAAGCAAAACATCACCAAAAAACAAGCAGCTGGACTTTGTTGGGAAAAGTAAAGGCGAAAGTGGCCAGGAAGATGTGGTAAACATTAAAACATGTCAAAATATTAATATTAATAAGACAGTTTGTCAGATTAAAGTCAATTTCTCTGTTATGGTGAAATAAAGAAATTGAATTTAACGTTATTTACATCTAGGAGAAATTTGTGCTACAGCTAGGTAATTTGTCACCCCAAAAGATAGGGATTTTGAGCCCTGCTGGTCTAAAAACAATGTAAAAAATGCATCTTTCCAGGGAACCAAAATCAGACAGCTGGGTTCAAATATTTCGGTT